GAATCCATCTGCTCTCTGATACAGATTTCCTTTTCTTAAAAAGATCCTACTCTCTTTCCAGCTACACCTGTTTAAAGACGCTTTTCTGTAGTGTGCAGGTAATTGAGGGAATTTTTCAAAGGTGACACACTGATTTTTTTAACCTAAATCCAAGTAAAATATGATTTCACAATAATATAGAAGCCCCTGAAGTTATACCAGACAGACACTCTACCTAAGAAATTCTATGTCTTTCTGGACAGGTTACCATCAATCAGGGGTGTGCCAGGGTCAGCCTGAATGGGCTCAGGTGAGCCGACTGTTCAGGGCATTCACACCTTAGAAAGCAGGAGACACTACATACCAGGGCTTGGTTTACTGTTTTGTTGATTATATTAGACGTAAGAAAGTGACAGACAAAATGTTTAAAAAAAAAAGGCAGAATAAACTTAAAAGTGTGTCACCCTGTATTTTTGGTAATCCAGTTGTTAAATATATACTGGCACCTCCCTGCCACCTGCTGAAATTAGTTGAAGGCCGCCCACCCCCTCCCATCAAATCAGGCCCCAATTTGAAATGGCTTTGCTCTCCTGACAGCTCTTAGCAATAAAACTCCTTTCCTCCTCCACTCTGCTTGAGACCTAATTAAGCAGAACCTCAGGGAGAAAATGAAAAACCTGTCACATCTGAGCTTATCTTCCTGGAAAAGAAAAACACCCAGTTGCTGACTGAATCAAAATATTTTTTTTTCTTTTTCCATTCCTGTTGGCATGAAGAGACCCAAAGTCCAGGGAAAAGTCAGAGAGGGGAGCCTGCTGGTAGTCAAGCTTCCTGCCACAGGGGATTACCCCAAAATCGGCAACGTGTTAAACAAAAGCCTACAGAAAAGGAAAAGTGAGCTGCTGTGCTGTCTTATCCCTCCTTGGTTGATGCGCTATCATGTGTGCACCTCCTCTGTTCCAGGCAGCTCTTCTCTTCATCAAGGCCAACCCTTCTACAGACTCCATTTCACATTATTTGATATGCCATCTCCCCCCCTCCATGCCTTTGCTCAGGCTGTCTCCCATGCCTTCATCACCTTCACCTCCTCAAATTCCTAGCTTTCTTCAAGGATCAGCCCAGATGCCACCTTCTTTAGGAAACCTTTCCTGATCCCTCTAGTTGTCAGTATTCTTCCTCTCTGCAAATTATCTTGTGTGAACTTTTCTGTTTATGTACTGCCTCCCCCCAGTAGAATGTAAGACCCTTGAGGTCAGCATGTGTTTTGTTTTCTCTTTGTAGTACCTGAGACCCTACCTAATAGAACATAGGTACTTAATAAATAATTGCTGAACTGAACTGAACTAAAAGCTTTTCTTTAGATGGCTCTTGCTCAAGATCAAATTGTTGTCAGGTATAATGAGAGGTATGAGGAGATATCCTGCAGCCACATTTGATGATAAAATGCAGGTGTAGCCCAGCTCTACTGCTGTTGTTGTTGTTCAGTTGATTCAATCACAACTCTTCATGACCCCCATATGGGGTTTTCTTGGCAAAGATGCTGAATGGTTCGTCATTTTCTTCTCCAGTGGATTAAGGCAAACAGAGGTTAAGTGACTTGCACAGGGTCACACAGCTAGTAAGGGTCTCAGCCTGGATTTGAACTTAGGTCTTCATGACTCCAGGCCCAGTGCTCTATTCACTGAGCCTCCTAGCTGCCTCCTCCAGCCATAATAACCTATGTTAGATTGGGGCATGGAGACAAGGCTAGTAAGCCGATTCATTGACCACAAGCATAGCCAAAGACCACAGCCACAAAAAATCCTGGGATGGGCCATGTCATTGTAGGTTTAAAGCCGGAGACCTCAGAGGTAGGTTAAAACACCAACACCAAACACCAACAAATCCAACTCCCTCATTTTACAGAGAAGGAAACAGAAAGATGAACTGAATTGAAATGGACAAGCACCCAAAGTGATTTTGAGGAAACTGAGGCTCAGGGAGGTTACTCAATTTGCCCACAACTAGTAAGTACACAAGGGAGGATTTAGCCTGGACCTTCTGCCTCTGTCCAGCACGCAATCTGCTACATCACATTACCTCTCATCTGCAAAACGAAAAGGCTGGATTTTATGATCTCAAATGTCCCTTCCAGCACTGACATCCAGTAACTCAATGATTCCATCTTCTGCCAAAGGCAAGTTCAAATTCTCTGCAGGAGCAGCAGCTTCAGATCACCTAGGAGTCATCTGCTAGAGCTTCTCATGCTTTGGGCATGCAAGAAGAAAGCTGACCTGCCCTGGGGGAAGGGGAGGAGGTCAGTACTGCCTATGACCCTTGAAACACTGAAAGCAAAGTGCGAGGTCTTTCACCAAGATCCTCTCCCAAGCAATCTGCATTCAAGTCCACGCCACCCTACCTCCCCTAGGTTCTCTGCGAGCTCCTTCCCCTCACCACTCACCTAGGGAAATAACACCACACTCTCTAAACTCAAATTCTAACTGAACAATTCAACGAGCAACTGGAACACTGTATTTATGGAAGCTCTCTGGTACCAAAATTAAATCCTCCTGGATGAGCACATATTTGGGTGCTGGTGCTAATTACATCTGCCCCTTCCAGGGACCAAGGCAGGCTTCAATAAAGCTCTGTGAACTTTGATGAAGGGTATTTCCTAAAGCCCCCTGAACACTGTGTACAGTCACATATAGCAGGGCCCATAAAGCACTTCGATGAGGTCAGAGATTATCTTCTCTGTGCCAGGATCCCTCACATCTAACCCCTGACACTATCTCCATGGTAAGTTCATCAGTAAAGAAGACTCATTGTGTGAAAACTCCTGCCACCAATGCAGACCAACAACTTTTCTGCTATTTACTATCTCAGAGAATTGGCCTGGGGTTAGGTAACCTAGACAGGGCCACACAGCCAGTATGTGTCAGAGGTAAGATCTGAACCTAGGTCTTCATGACTCCAGAGCCTGCCCTCTATCCATAACACCATGATGTCTTAGAAATAAAATCGCAGACTTAAAACTGAAAGGGACCTTAGAGGTTATCTGGCCCAATCCCTCATTTTATAAATGAGGAAGCTAAGACCAGAGAGGTTAAGAAATTTGCCCAAGGTCACCAAAGTCATAAGGGGCAGAGCTGGGATTCACATCCAAGTCCACTCTTCAGAAATGCCAAATCCAAAGCTCTTTTGAGTGTCCCACTCTGCTTCTCTATGTAGATCTCTGTCTCTGTTTCTCAGTCTTTCTTCTCTATCTCTGTCTTTGTCTCTGTTTCTCTACATTTTTCTCTGCCGCTCTGTCTCTATTTCTGTCTATGTCTCTGTCTCTACCTCTGTTTGTCTCTCTCTGTCTCTGTATATCTGTCTGTCTGTCTCTCCCTCTCTTTCTCTCTTTGTCTCTGTCTCTCTCTCACACACACACACACACACACACACACACGCATACACACACACGCATTCACATGCATACACACACACATGCACACAGTCCACAGTGTCACTCAACTGCCGACAAGGGCACACATAGGATGGTTTTCTATCAGAGCCTCAGTTGATTCACAAACTGCCTGCATCCTGAAGATAGGGTTTGTGAACCAGAGACCAAAGAAGCAAAACACCCTACAGAACACTAATAGAGGGAGCACATGGCTAACCAGAATCCTTACTCATCTCAAATCCTCGTTCTAACCCTTTGACCCAAACTCCATCCCTGCCAAAAATGAATAACACTTGGTAAACAGGCAAGAGAATATGACCAATCCAGGGCCTTGTCACTGCTCAGACCCCTTGGTCTAGCCCAAAGTGGAGCATGACTGTGATTGGGAATAAGGTAAGCAGGGGTCTGAATAATTCATAGTGAAAGCAGCAGCTGCTGGATAATAAAGAATTGGCCAGAAGCATTCCCAGGACAAACACTCAGAAGAATGACAACATGCCTCCCTACCAGTTAATCCATTCAGTTTTGGGACTCACTAAACTGATTATAAAATGAATGCGTGAAAACTCACCTAACCCACCCTATCTAGCTACCCTCAGACCATGGTTCCCAATGCATCCAGTCGCCCCCTGGAACTTCTGGACCTAACCAGCAGAAGCATCTTTCTGCCTACTCGCTCACCATGTATGTACCACATATTCACAACTTCCTACCTGTTGCTCTTGCCCAGTGAATAATCAAATCAATGGTTACTGGAAAGAGTGTAACGATCTACTGCCCCATTGCTCTGCTCACAATCCCTATGACTGCCTAGTTCACTAGCTCTCATCCTTTTGTGTGCATGTCAGGGACCCATTTAGCAGTCTGGTGAAGTCTATAGACCCTTTCTCAGAATATTTTTAAATGCGTAAAATAAAGTGCACAGGATTACAAAGGAAATCAAATCTATTGAAATATAGTTATCAAAACATTTTTTAAAAAATAAGTTAACAGACCCCAGGTTTTCCCTTTATGCATTGTATCCCCCAATTAGAATGCAAGCTTGTTGAGGGTGGAAACTGGTTGACACATCTTAGACTGCTTAATAAATGTTTGTTGATTGATTGAATGAGTGAGTCAAATGGGTGAGGCCATCTCCTCTAGGTAAACCTGGCTAAGAATCTACCTCCTAGCACAACCTCTGAGCCCACTTCTGGATACCTTTGGCTGACCCTATACCATTCTAACCCATAAATAATTGTTCCACTCACTAGCTATATAGCAATCATAAGGAAAATGGTTCACACACTTCCTCAGCCATCCCCACCCCATGTGAAGGACAAGATGTCCTGGTATCTAAAGGGTCAAGGTTTCAGACTCTATCTATGTACATACACATTCACTTTCTCTTCTAGAGATCAAGTTCAGGCCTAAGCAGGAATTTAGGCAGTTGAATCCCACATCATTTACAAGTCCCTAACCCTCTGACATCCCCTCCCCCAATGAGTCCAGGCCCTTCTTCCTCCAGCCCTTTAACACCCCCTTCCCCAATAAGTCCAGGTCCCTCTTCCTCCAGACCCCAATGAGGGCCAGTGTTTCCCCTCGAAGGCCCTACCTCTTGCAGAGAGCTTCTTGGTATTGATGATCTTAGCTGCATACTCATGTCCAGTGCAAAGTTTGACACAGCGTCGTACAACTGAGAAAGCCCCCCTAGGGAAAAAAACCAGGTCGGGGTGGGGGTGGGAGAAGAGGTAGAGAAAAGGAAAGGAAGGAGGGAGAAAAGAGACAGAGAGAGAAAGTAGGTTAATCTGTCATTAAGAGACACTCAGACCTGCCTTAGAACCCCATGGTACCCCTCCATATCAGGTCAATTTTGAGGAGAGTCAAAGAAGAGCGCCTAGGCAGTGGAGGAGACCAAAGAATCAGGAGGATTTTGTAAGGGAGCATAAATGTACCATAGAAAAGGAAAGGTGCCCTCACAGCAGCGTAGGGGGTGCCAAGAGTTTATGCCCTGCACTGAGCACTGACCACCAAACCCAGGAGCCTGGCACACCCAGAATGCCTAGCTTCATTTACAAGTTAATCAACAAGAATTTACTAATGACCTGCCATGTGTCCAGTAGCATCAGGAACATAGAAGTGTAATATACAGACCTTGTCCTAGTTGGGAAGATTATGTGACCTAATGGAAAAAATATTGGATTGGGAGTTAAGAGGACAGGTTCAAAGTATACTCTGCCACTGTCTTTGAGACTGACTTTGGACAAGCCACCGACCTTTTCTAACCCTCAGTTTCCCCACTGTAAAATCAAGGGGATAAACTAGCTAACCTCTAAGGTCCCTTAGAGCTCTGACATTTCTATGATTCTGAGACACACACACACACACACACACACACACACACACACACTGACCAATATAAAATAGTATATAACTGTTATTGGATTGTATGTTACAGATTTATAGTACAGTAACAGCTTGGCATGGTAGATAGAACGCTCAATCCGAAGTACGGAAGATTAGAGTTCAAATCCAGGCTCAAACACATGCTAGCTGTACAACCCTGGGCAAGTCACAAAATCTCTCTAAGATCAATTTTACTCATCTGTAAAATCAGGGAAATAATGAAATACAGGGTTGTTGTGAGGGTCAAATGAGAATTTTCTTTATCTTTAAAGCACTACAGAAGCATTGGTTATTATTATTAAGAGAGTTCAGAGAAGGGAAAACTCAGTGAGGGCTAGAATAATCAGAAAAGATTTTATGGAGGAGATGGGACTTGAATCAAGCCTTGAAGGCTAGGTAGGACTTTTGGAAGAAGAGTCAGGCATAGCTGAGGTTCTTAGAATCCCCAAGCTAGACTTCTAACCATACCAAAATACTGGTTCACTTAAGAAAATGTCTGAGTCCTAACTGGGACAAGAACAGCTAGGTGGCACAGTGGATAGAGCACTGGGCTTGGAATCAGGAAGACTCATCTTCCTTAATTCAAATCTGACTTCTGACACTTACTAGCTATGTGACCCTGGGCAAGTTACTTAACCCTGTTGGCCTCAGTTTTCTCATCTGTAAAAATGAACTGGAGAAGGAAAATGGCAAACCATTCCAATATCTTTGCCAAGAAAACCCCAAATAGGGTCATGAAAACTTATGACTGAAACAACTCAACAACAACAAAATGACTGAGACAGCTGAAGAAAAGCAAAGCACCAACCAGGGGTTTGGTCCCTGCTCTGGCAGGTGCCCCAAAATCCCCCTACTCTCATTCCAAAGCTCTGAAGGCCCCACAGTGATCTTCCCTTATCCTATCTTGAATCCTTCCTATGTTGAGAGTTGCAACCAACACAAATCAGTAAGTATTATTAAGCACTTATTACATGCTGGGAATGCAAAGACACCACCCCCCCATTAAAAAAAAACTTCCAAAAATCAGTCCCTACCCTCAAAGAACTTACATTCTTGAGGGAGGAGGGGAAATACAGCATGACAACAGATAAGGATATACTATCAATCAATCGGCAAGCCTCTACTATGTACTCAGCCCTTTACTGACACCGGAGATGGAAAAATTAAACAATTCCTACCCTCAAGAATCTTATGTTCTCTTAGGGGGGAAAAACATGAGGAAAAGAGAGACAGCATTAACAAGCAAGGAGGACAGTCAAGACTCTTCAATGGGAGGTGGCTCCTGAATTGAGCCTTGAAGAAAGCTGGAGGGGAGGAGAAAGAACATTCAAGGAAGGATGGGGGGGGGGGTTGGGGCACAGACATGGTAAAATCAGGGCCCCATTCAGGGAATAGCAGTAGGTTATTTTGACTAGAAGGGAAGTAACGTGCTATGAACCTGGAAAGGTAGGCTGGAGCCAGACCAGGAAGGGTTTTATATGTCAAGCCCAAGGCCTCTATTTTAGAGGCAAGAGGTAGTCACTCCTGGTTCTTAGATAGGGGAGTGACAACCCTACAAAGGGCTCTATCTTTCTAAGACTAGGGCTAAGGCCAGGTAACTGCTTTACAAAGTCCCCCTCCAATCCTAGGGAAGGTGGGTCTGAAAAGGAAGAAGTCAGAGGTCAGGACCTCAACCTAGCAAATCCCAAACTGCCCTCTGTACCCTAGATCTTACCTAGCTGGACTCTAAGGCTATGGAAATCTGCCATTCAATAACCTCAAATCCCAGCCTAAGGATAGGACTGTATTCAGACACACATAATCAAACTAGTGTGTCCAATGGAAAGTCAAAAGCCACTCCAAGTCTCAGTTTCCTCAACTGTAAAAATGAGGATAATAAAATCAGTAATACTCAAAAGTCTGTCATGAAATGCAAGTAAGATAAGTAAGCAGTGAGTGGGATAGGACAAAGTGGAGGAAGTGGTGACCATCTTAGGCCACTGTTCCCTACAGCCAAATTCAATCAGTCAATAAGCATTTAAGGGAACCTAGAGGTCATTTAGAAGGCTAATCTCATTTTACATGGGAAACTGAGGCCCAGAGGGATAAAGTGACTCATCCAAGGTCACACAGGTAAGTCCGCCGACTTCACCACCTCCTAGCTGTAGGCCACTTCTTCTTTCATCCTCAGTCAAATGAGGGAGTTAGATTCTGAGGCTCCTTTTCAGCTCTAAATCTGTAAATCCTTCCAACCCCAATCTGTGAAACCATGGATCAAACCTGGTCCAGATGCTGCAAATGGTCACTAGAGGGCAGCCAAAAGTCAGGGCAGATGGACAATCAGCTGCACATTCTGGAGAGAATCAAGGGTTCCAGGTCAGTACCAGTTCAATAGAACAGAAGGATAGTTTGGGGACATACTCCTGAAAGATGAGGCAAAATCATGACTCCATGGAAGGGAGGGCAAGAAAAGCTGTATCCATCATATGGGGACACGATCACGAAGTGGAAGATCCAATTCAATTCCATTCAACAAACCATTATTAGGCACCTACCATGTCTAAGGCCTTGTGCTAGCGTTGAGACTACAAAAACTGAAAATGTTACAGTCTCTGCCCTCAGGGAGCTTGAAGTCAAACTGGTGAGGAAACAATATGAAAACAAATGAGTTTCATTCAAGGTAGGATGTGATTTGGAACAAAGGAAAGGTTCAAAGTGGTCTAGGAAAATTTGAGGAGAGAAAGATCACTTTTAGTTTAGGGACAAGTTCCAGGTGGAGGATGAATAAAGGCTTCCTGGAGGAGGAGACACCTGAGTTAAGTTGAAGGAGGGAAGAAAGGAGAGAGGAATGACTTTCGTAGGGTAACAAAGCTAGTAAGTATCTGAGATCATATTTGAACTCAGGTCTGCCTGACTCCAGACCCAGCACTCTATAAACTGCACCACCTAACTGTATATATAGTCAGACTTTTTCATTGTGTTGGCTAATTTTGCTGAGTTTTTTTTATTTTTCTCTCTTTTTTATTCTCTGCTATAAGGGATGGCTTTCTGGGAGAGGAGGAAAGAAAGATATATTTCGAAATCTGTTGTTGTTTAGTCATTTCTGTCATGTTCAATTCTTTGTGACCCTATTTTGGGGTTTTCTTGGCAAAGAAATCAAATATAGTTTGCCATTTCCTTCTCCAGTTCATTTTATAGATGAGGAGCTGAGGGTTAAATGACTTGCTCAGGGTCACACAGCTAGGAAGTGTCTGAAGCCAGATTTGATGTCTTCCTGATTGCTTCCAAAGCCAGTGCTCTACCTACTTTGCCACCTAGCTGATTTGGGAATCTAGATGACAGAAAAACAAATGATGTCAATACAACCTTACCTTAAAAATACAAGGGTGGCGGGGAGATGAAATGGTGATTACAGGAAGATGCTGTTAAATCAAAATACAAAGGCTCAAGGGGACAGTAAGGGGAAGGAGAGGAGAGACTTTGGATTAACCAGGTCCAGCTCAGGTGATGGTTTTATTATGAAAGAACAACAAGGCATGTGGTCATGTGGTCTAGATTAGCCTAGAGTGAATCACTGAATTGAATAGACCTGAGTCAGATTCTGGTAAGCTGTCTACAATACTAATAACCTAACTGGAAATCCCCTTTGAGGCATGTGAATGAGCACCTGTTGGCATCACTCTGTCCATCTGCCCATCTGTCTATCTTTTCAACCTCAGGCACTTACATGCCCTGTCTGGGCCAAGAACCAAAGGCAGCTCATACACAGCACAGCACGTGACTCTTCACAAGCAGGGAAGGATTAATCTGGCATGAACTCTGACCCACAAACTCCCACCAGGCATCCACTGGGTACCCACACAATAAGCAGGAGACTAGGCTGGGCCTGCCTTCAGGGTGCTTAGAGTCTAACTGGTTGTTGTTTTTGTTGTTTGTCCTTAGCTCTGGAAGAAGACCAGGACATCAGGGAAAGTGATGTCATGACTTGCAAGTGAATTGCATTTAAGTGAGAGAGGGCTGTACAAAGTCACCAGCCTCACTCTCTCCTACAGAACCATCTGGGTCCAGTGACACGATATAGATCAGGATGACTGGAGATGGCCCTGCTAGAGTCTAACTACAGAATAGATTTGGATACACGAAACAAGCCTAGAATAACGCTCGGCACTGGAGAACATTTCCCCTAGAGAAGAGAAAACTGAGGTTGGGGGAAGGGAGAGGCATGACAGTAGTGTTCAGGTATTTCAGACTGCAGAAAAAGAATTAGGCTTGTTGCCTTTACTTCTAGTTTCACAAAAACCTCAGGAGGTAATGACTTCCTCTGA